AAAACCAAAATGGTAACAGAAAAGCTGCAGATGTACATGAGTTTTGCATTCGTTATCCAGCTGTGTTCAGCGCAGCTCTGGTGCAGAGTGTGTGGGGGTGCACACTGCGGTTGTTGTAGTTTAGGGGTGCATAATGCGGCTGTGCTAGTTTATGGTCTTTTGTATTCTTTGATGTTGCCAGGGGCAAGAGCTGGGACATTCCAGTCTCACCCATGGCTTTAGCTTCAGGAACCACCAAACACAGGAGGGGCTGTAACACCACCCCGCCATTAATGGAGACCAGTTCCAACTCTGCCCAGCCTGGGGAGGGGTCAGTATTCCCTGGACACTGAAACTCATGATCCTCTATGGTCCATGCCTGGAAAGGAGAGAGGGTGAGGCCAACCCTCCTGGTAACTAAACAATGGGCATGGTTTCCACCCAGCCGCCAGATCCAAGTCCAGACAGGATGTGGGCTGGTGGGTGCCAGGGGTCGGGGAGGGGGCGGATTGGTGTCTGATGGAGACGGTATCAGTTTCAGAGGACGGAGCAGCTCTGGAGGTGGGCAATGGGAACAGCAACAGGACCCTTGATGGGTTTTAAGCCGCTGACCTGCCCCTTGAAAAGTGGTTGAAGTGGTAAATTTTATGCTGCATGGACTTTTCCACAACTAAGATAACAGAGAGGGGAGAAAGAGGTGGCCCTGCGTGAGCTGGAGGCTGCCACGGAGAGCAGAACGGATGCCCTGGAATTGCTGAGACAGAACTGCCCCTGGTCCAGCTCACACGAGGAAAAGGCATATATTATAGTAGAATGTTCTAGATCTTGGTTGGAGGGCAGAGCGGAGGCAAGAGGGTGATGGCCAGGGCTGCAGGAGTTCTGGGAACCGTCTGACAGTCCCACCCTGCAGGGTGGGTGTGAGAGATGCTTGAGGTTGAATGGTGGCAGGCAGACATAGGGAACGCACCACAGGGCACTCCGCACCGTCCTGCCACAGGGCCACTCGGCCCCGCCCTGCCACAGGGCCACTCGGCCCCACCCCGCCACGGGGCACTCAGCACTGTCCCACCACTGGCAAAGTATAGTCTCTATCACTGTGGCAATGGTTGATGGTGCAGTAGAAACTTCTGAAGGGAAGTATCTGGTATCCTGGCTGAGCTGAGCTGCCAGGGGTGTGTCAACCTGTCCCAGCACACAGACTGACTGACTGACTGACTGACTGTGTGTGTGTGTGTGTGTGTGTGTGTGTGTGTGTGTGTGTGTGACACTGCCTATGCCTATCACCCTGCCTCAGGGACAGAGAGGAGTTCAGGACCAGCAGGAGCACTTTTGGGTCTGTGGCAGGCTGGCTTCCTAGTCAGGCTGTGGGGCCTGGATGTGGGTGAACGAACATGCTGGTCCACAGTCACCTGTGTGGCAACCTTTGGCCTTGCTTGAATCCTGCTCAGCCCTCCGTTCTGCAGGGTCCCTCCTGTCCCTGTGCCTACCTCCATCTCCCGCTCCTCTCTTACTTTCTCTGATCTCAGTCATTCTGCAGCCCCACCACCCACACCCCCTCAGCCCACTCCCTTATCTGGGTCCCGCACAATCCAGGGAGCCCATCCCCATGACAACGGGGCAGATGGCCCTGTGATAGTGGCTCTCCCTCCCACCATGGCTCAATCCGTCTTTGAAATTAAATCAGCTGTGATAACATCAAGGGCCAGAGGGAGGGGAGGCTGCCTGTGCCCCACCCACCCCGCCTGCTCAGAGGAGGGGACCAGGGGGCAGAGCAGCTCGCAGTGAGGTCAGGTGACGTTGGCTTGGTCTCTTGCCTTAGGAACCTCAGTCTCTCCATCTATAAAACAGGCTGATCATATTTATGACTTAGGTCAGTGGAAAACTTGGGAACAATGGGCAGGCCTGATGCCCTTCAGCCCACGTGGAGCCTTAGCTCCTCTGAAAGCCTCCCTAGCCAGGCTTGGGACACAGAGAGAGCAGCTCCCCAGAGCAGAGGCTGTAGATTGCTCTCACGAGCCTTACTGTCAAGGCCACACTATCCTGCAGGCAACATGCTCTACAGAACCACAGTGCTGTTGTGCATTCTCCCCAGCATGGTGAGGCCCTTTTGTACAATTAGGGCCCCTGCAGGATGCAGCAGTTTGGGAGTGGAGAGCAAAGAGAGCCTGAAAGGGCCTTTGAGACTGGAAAAGCTGGATGGATGAATTGGAGTCAAGAGTCCAAACACTATACAGAAGCTGGGAAGGGGAGAGGGCTAAGGGTTGAGGCAGGGCTACAAGGGACCTAGGGAGGAAGGAGGCTGGGCCAAAGTGTGCAGCCTGTGCAAGTACTCTGAGGCAGGAGTGTGCTGGTACAGGCAGTGAAGATGCTGGCAAGGCTGGAGCAGAGCAAAGGGAAGCTGGAGTTTATGGGGCAGGTGACTTGTGACCTCCCAGGAACAGTGAGGGATGATGGCTAATGCCAGGGAGCGTCTCAAAATGCTCTTGATTTTTGCTTTTAGGACTTCACAAACTCCTCTGGTCATGGGGTGAGAATAAACAGATAGAGACAGGAAAGGATGGGATGTCCAGGTAGATAGGAAGGATGGGAAGCAGCTGGGGACAACAGGGTAAAGTTATACACTGTCTTCAGATCCTGATGTACCACAGGGCAGGGCCAATAGGATCTGTGGTTGGCTAGTCTCCACGTGAGCCCCTGAAAAGTAAGACACAGGTGGGGCATGGGTCGCCAGTCCCCACTGTAGACTCGGCAGGGCTCCAGGATATATTTATCTTGGGCAGGATGCCCTACCCAGGGAGGCTTGTTGATGACACCCAGGAGTTGACAGAGGGTGGGCTTTTCAGGAGAAATTTAGTGAGCCGGAAAGAAACTAGCAGGCCTTACTTCCCACTTTGCTACACCTCGAGATGGTATTCCCATGGAAGAAACAGAATGGACACTGGCCATGGCTCTCAGGAAGTGTGTCCCAGCAGAGAAGATGATGTGATGCCGAGCAATGTCGTGGGGAGAATGAAGGGGCCTGAGCCAGTTTAAGATTCTGGTCTCTTCCCCGGAGTTTCCCTCTACCCTGTGGTAGAGCAGATCCCACAGCCTGCAGGGCCTCAGAGCTTTCATTTGCGAAATGAGCAAAAATGTTGCTGCTGGGACCCAGGGCTGAGGACCTGAGGCAGCCCTCCAGGAGGGTTGGGAATGGCACATCTTATCTGTGCTGGGGGGAGAGAGGACACAAGAGGAGACTCAAGAAGCGGGCAACCGGTGGTCCCTGGCACCAGGGTTCTTGGGATACTGGAATCCCCGAGTCTGGCAAGCTCCCAGACTTCCTCTGGGCACCTAACTGAAGTGTGTGACTGTTCAGGGCTGCTCGGCTCTAATTGGATTTGCCCAGCAGCTGTCTGACCTAAGCAGGCCCACTTGAGGCAGCCGTAGCTGGTCAGTGATCAGGGACATTAGCAGGTCAACAGGGGCAGAGGTCGGGTGGTGAGTGCCAGGGGATTTTGATAAAGTCCGTCCCCAAGCAGGGCTGGGAGCTCGGGCTCTGCCTTCTGTGTACCCCAGCTCCTTTGCCCTGACCAGTAACGTGGTTAGCTGCCTCCAGCTGCCGGCTGGCTGAAGACCCCTGAGGCATATTCCAGGGAACTGGGGCCCAAGCCAGGCCTCAGGGTCAACAGCTTCTGGCCATCACACTTGCAGCGCTTGGCTGGCCCTGGCAAGCTTGGGGTGATACCTAACTTCCTAGAACAGGAAGAAGATTCCTGGGCCCACTTCTCAGCGGCCTGTATTCCTCCCCAAGGGGTCCTCTTCCTAGTGTTGTGTGGGGTAAAGAGGACAAGTTCTTCCCTGGTTCCCTCAGTCAGCCAGGTTCCCTCAAGGCCTCCGGTCCTCCTGCCACGTCCATCTGACCTGCTGTGCCCTGGAACTTTGGATCTCACCTCCGTCCTCTCCACACCACAGGCCGGACCCCTTCTGAAGCTGGAGTTTATGTAAGAGCAGCATCAGCCCATCTCATCAGCCCACTCAGCGACCACAGGATCGGTCCCTTACCTGAGAGCTACATTCTGTCACTAGTAGTGAACCCTGGAGTTGTCACGGCCCCGGCCACACCTGCTGCTGTGCTTACTGCGGGAATAGCCATCATGGGCATTGTTTAAGTGCTGGTCCCTTCGCTCCAGCACCCAGGATGGCACGCCGGCTCAGCTGCCTGCCAGGCATGTAACCCTTCCCTTTACCTCAGTTCCCTCTTCCACAATATGGAGCCGAGAACCCTGGTATGTGAAAATTGGGGGTGTTCCACAAAGTGACTCACATTCACTTTGCTTGTCTCTTCTTGTTCGTCCAACAGGGTCACCTGGTCCTGCCCCAGGCCCTTTTCACATGCTGGTCCCACCACCCAGAATGCTCTCCTTGAGCTGTCAGAATGTCCTCCCAGGAGACCTGACCCAAACTACCCCTGCCCCCTCAGTGTGACATTGCTGCTTCCAGCCGACCCAATGGTTCCCGGCACCAAACAAGAGCATACTCATGGTGGGAACAGGGAGCTCACCTGCTGCCCATTCAAAAGCCCTGGATGCATCATGCAGAGAGAAGCATGATGGGAGGTCACAGGGAGAGGATGGGGGTGCTGAGGCTGGGGAGGTAGCTGAGGTTAGACCACAAGGGCTCCACGGTAGGGACGAGGTCAGAGGATTTTATGATCAGAACAGAAGAGGTGGAAAGGTTGAAAGCGGTGTAGGAAAGAAAGGCTGGCTGCTACTCCATTAGCGGGTGAGGAAACATGGGAATTGGGCAGGAGAGCCTATGAGGATGGTGGTCATCCTGGAGAAGGTAGAGAGAAAGGCAGAGAAGGTAGGACTGAGGGTAACAGGATGGGCAGGTGACCTGCTCCTAGGCTTGCTGTGGGCATCAGCTGGTGCTGGGCATGGAGGCCACAGCTCCTGAGTATGTCTGTGGAGTTGGGGCAGCCACACCGTGGGCCTACAGTGACACACCCCCACCGCTGAGGATGGAAGACGTATCCACATGAGTTCACTTGGAACATTTATTAACTACTAGCTTACGACTACTGTGGTCCCTTGTGATGGTGACTAGCCCAGGGCCAGGCTCGGTGGCTCTCACTTGCTGTCCACCCGCATGAGCTTCTCCTTGCCATTGACGGTTACTGACCGGAGCTTTCCATCCTCTTCCACCTCCACACGCTCCTGGCCATTCTCGATAATACGCTTGGTAGTCACCTTGTGGCCATTCACAATCTCCGTGGATGACATCACTGACTTGAACCCTGAGTTGCCTGAACTGGAGCCACCGATGGAAGTGGACGAGAAGGTGGTGCGGCTGCCCCCACCACGGCCCAGGGTATCGAAGGATGAGAAGGCCTCCATGAACGCCGGGAACTCACCGAAGCCCGAAGAGAAGGCCCCACGTAAACCACGGGGCCGGCCACGGTCACTGAATGGTGTGTCCCAGAAGTCAAAGGAGAAAGGATCCATTCCCCCAAAGAACTCACGGAAGATATCCTCGGGATTGCGGAAGGGATAGCCAGCGCCAAAGGGACTGCCGTGAGGGACATTGCTACCGCCACCAGCCCTCCAGGTGTCACAGCCTGCCCGGTCGTACACAGAACGCTTCTTAGAGTCCGACAAGACCTCATAGGCCTCAGACACCTGCTTGAACTTCTTCTCAGCCTCCTCCTTGTTGTCGGGGTTCTTGTCGGGGTGCCAGCGCAGAGCCAGCTTCCGATATGCCTTCTTGATGTCCTCAGGAGAGGCACTGGACTTTACCCCTAACACTTCATAGTAGTTGGCCATAGCAAGGGTGGAGGGGACCGGATCGGATTGAGGGAGGACTGAGGAGGGCTGGGGCAAGTTGTTGGGGTCCTCCTTGAGTCCCCTTGAGTGGGAGACTTGCTGGAATCTGCTGGCTCTGGGTGGCGAGAGTTTTAACTTTCCATCCTCCCACTTCTCAGGGACAGGTGGAGCCTCCACTGAGAGGGGTGGGGGTGGGGGTGGGGGATAGGAACAGTGCCACTCTGGGCTAGGCCCAAGTGGCCCCTTCCAAGCTGGGGCCAGGGCCCTTTGTGACATAAGCAGTGAGTAGCAAGTTCCCCCACCCCCTCAGCCAAGTTCTACACATCATAGGGCTGTGGGAGAGGCTGATCTCTGTGGAAGACCCGGACTGTGAGTTTGGCTGTGTGGAGGGGGTTTACTGGGATTCCTGGGAGCCAGGAGGAAAGGCAGGATCAGTTGTGGGCCTGGGTTAGTGACACCAAAGTTAGGTGGCAGTGGTCAATGAGAGGAGCAAGGACTTCCTGGGGTCTGTCCTCTGAGCCGATTCTGCGTTGCTGTGAAGGGCTGAAGAGGCCCCAAGCCCCTTGGGTTAGATAGGGGCAGTCATCTATCCTATTTGTGGCCTGTTATTTCTAGATTCTCACAGACATCAGGAAGGCAGCTCATAAGCAGCTGGGGCAGATCCAGCCCACAGTGCACGATCAGCAAAGATTTGTTTAATGTATGAGGCTCAGAGACATAGCAACAGCTCAGGGTCACACAGCAAACCTGTGAGGGAGAAGGAAACTGGAACTGAGTCCATCTGGGCCGTGGTGGCCAGCAAGGAGAAGGTCCATTCTGTTTAACTCAGGTATAAAAGGTCATTAATAGCTGGGCAGTGGTGGCGCACACCTTTAATCCCAGCACTTGGGAGGCAGAGACAGGTGGATCTCTGTGAGTTCCACAGAGAAACCCTGTCTCAAAAGCAAAACAAACAAACAAACAAACAAACAAAAAAACCCAAGGACAAGCCACCTCTGATCCCTGGAAACCAAATGTAGTCTCATATATGGAAGAAAAATGTAGAAACAAGCTTATCCTAGACCTGGAGAACATCTCTGGAGTAGCTGGTGTTAAGAAGGGAACAGACCAAGGTGCACAGCAGGATGCTAATGGAGAAGAGGTCTTGGGGGTCACAGCAGCCTGGAAAGTCTCCAGGTTTGTGGTCCTTGGCTTGTGCTCTGCTACCAGATCCTGTTTGCTATAGCAGTGTTGACTTCTCCCTGCTCCCATCCTCATCCTGTGCAGCAGACAGAAGCAGCAGACTCAACAACTCAGAGTGTCAATAAGAGACTGGGCTTCCAAGACCTCTATGATGCCATTTTTCCTTCACCTCCTTCCTCCCTCCTCCTCCCTTCTTCTTCTGCATCTTTAAGTCTTTCTCTCCGTTATCCTGACTCATTCTTTCATCTTCCAGTGCTCCTGGGCTCTCAGTTCCCGACACCTTGCAGGGGACCTAGTAGTTCTATCAAGACCCACAGGCCAGGAAGGACAGCAGATTCTGGAGACACTTCAGGTAACTGTCACCATTACGCACATTCACCGCAGTAAGAGCAGGACGGGCTCCATGCTCCACACCAGTCCTCACTAACCCAGGCTGCTGGTGGTGGCTTCAGGTAAAGGCGGCCGCACCCCCGCCATTCTGGTAGTGATGGGAATAGCCATGTTAGTGATGGAGATGATGGGAGGCGCAGGAGGTAGAGATGGAGCCGCTGACAGTGACAGAGGCTGGTAGTGGTGATTGTGACCCTCCTAGGAAGGTGACAAGGAGTTGAGCCATGTGTGGCTCAGCTTGCTAAGGTGCAGCGTCACACTCAATAGGTGCTTTCCTTACCTGCCCACCCTGTAGGGGCTGCTGGGGCTCCTCTGTGGGGCCCCCAAAGAGACGCTGTTCTGACCTGATTTTGCCAAATGTGTGGCAGAGGGCCCGGGGATGCCAGTCACCAGGAGTCACTGCAACCCTCTGTTGCCGTGTGATGGACAGGCCTCACCCACCTCCTGGTGAAACCTGGCATCTGCCAGGTGGGAAAGGCCCTTTTCCTGGATGATTATGCAAGTCCAAGGCAATGCCGGAGAGAGGGGAGGAGGAAGCGAACCAGTACCGAGCTCTAGGTGGCACAGAGGATGGACAGGTAAGGAGGAAGTGATGTCGGAGGTGGTACCGTGGTGATGGAGGAGATGATGAAGGTGGCGGTAAAGGATAGCAATGGTGTGATGGAGGAGAAAGTGGTGGCCATAATCGTGGAGGTGGAGGTGAAGAGGATCGTGGAGGAGGTGATGCTGGTGGTGGCCATGACAACGGCAGTGGCAGTGACGATGTCGGTGATGAGAAATGTGATGCTAGTGATGATGATGGAGGTGGTAGCAGTGGTGGTAATGGAGAAAGTAACGGTGCTGATTACGGTAATGATGGAGGAGGTGATGGTGGCGAATCTTGGCTGAAATGGTAGAGGCAGTGGTGATGGTGCAGGTGGTGAACACAGGGAAGGCAGTGATGAGGATGGAGATGGCGATGATGTCAGAGGGTGGTCATGGCAACAGTGACGCTGATGGAGGCAGAGACAGTGGTGGCAATAGAGGTGCATGTCAGCATCAAAGGGTGTCACTGCTGCCCACTGTAACTGGGAAGGAAGGCATGACAAGTGTTTATGGTGATGCTGATACTCAGGTAGGTTGTTGGTGTTCTCTGAGGCTCTTCTAACGATGTCATCAGGGCCATGGTATGCTTACAGTGTTGAATTAAGGGATTCAGGGTGGTGATGTGTCCTGAAATCCTGTCATCCCCTCTGGTCCCAGCCAGGCACCTTTCCTGTCTCACTGGCATATCTGGTACTGTCCCTATCCATCTCCCAGGAGAACCTCCAGCTTCTCCTAGGTCAGCCTCATCGCCCTCCTTCTCCAGATGGAGTCTATCTGCCCAAACGAGACAAGTGGAAGCCCCAGCACTGCTCAGGCTCAGGATAGAGGACACTTGCAGTGACTTAGCGGGGCAGCATATCCGGGGCCTCTCAGTGCCCAAGGGACCTTGACAATGGAGACCCCCTAGGTGGGCCATGAAAGAAGATCTAGAACTGGACAGCCACTTGGTGGCAGCATGCCGAGGTAAATTCCTCTTCTACAGAGTTCTAAAAACTATCTACTGTGAGGTAGTGAAAGCCTGCCGTGTTTGGGGGTCCAAGTGGAGGAGTATGGCATGTGAGGGCAGAATATGGTGAGTGGGTAGGAACATTAGCCGACCCTGTGCTCCTGACCCACAGCGGTGTTAGGTCACTTCCATTCTGTACATTTTTGTCCTCATCCTCTAGTGTGATGGTGAGATCTCCCCGCCTCCCCCTCTGGGGGTAGGGCAGCGTCTGATGCCTCAAGTCCATCATATCAGAAAGGACTGTGGGAAGAGAAAAGACCTCCTATGATTCGGTGATCTAAGCAGAGCCCAGCTCAGTACAGAAGCAGGCCCAGAGAGGGCAGGGCACACCCAAGGTCACACAGCAGCCCCGGAAAGCCCTCCCCAGGCAAGCTGATGGAGGCTGATTAGGCAGCCAGAGGCCCCTCTGTCTCTCTAATTAATGGAGTGGCTTTTTAAAAGGATTCTAATCACCCCGATGCTATCTGCTTATCGCCAGAATTCCTAATTAGATGGTCCTGGCAGGAACTTGCCTAATTCCCTCCAGCCTCTGCACCCTGCCCAGGGGGGCAGCCCACCCACCCGTCCACCCCAGCAGATGGGCAGCTGTGGGGCCTTCTCTTCTCTCAGGGCCTGAGGTGGTGGCCAACTCCATTTCCTTCAGGATGGATGGGTGACAGGAATGGATGGATGGGCTGCTGGATTGACAGTGACAGGTGAGTGATGAGACTGGGTGGAAGGCAGCAACAAGGAATAAATGAAAGGCTGGGCAGAGAGTCTGAGGGATAGGGTGTGGACTGCCAAGCCAGATGACCTGGGTTCAAATCCCAGCTCTGTCACTTCATAGCTGTGTGTTCTTGGGGAAGTCACTTAACCAAGTTACTGTGACTTGGTTTCCTCATTTCAGCTGTAAAACGGGGGTAACTCTTCTCCCAGGGATGTTTGACAGTAACTGGCGAGGGCTACTGCTGGCATCCTTGCTCCAGGTGGCCACACAGTGACCGACCCCAATGTCAGGGGCTGTTAAAGACCGTTCTACACTGTCTGTCTGTTTCGGGTACAATATTGTCTTCACTGTGGACAGTTTAACCATACACGGGGCCTGGAGCAGCTTGTTTCTCAGTGAAGCAAAGACTGGAAGTGTGAGCGGCTCCAGCAGAGTGGCCAGAACAGGTGCCTGGGGAGACTTAGAGCGGGGCTCAGGGCCAGATCCGGGCTTGGAGAGTGGACTGAGATGGGAGACCTTGGAAAGAACTGGAGCAGGAGGATGCATCACTGTTGGTCCCAGGAGGATTCTTTGCAACAGTGGTATTGAGTGTGATACCCACCAAGTAGCAAATATGTAACGTCGGAACGTTACCAAGTGTCAGCGGAACCAGGGCATCTGGTGTCACTGTTCTTTGCTGGTTATTCTGAAACAAAACGACCAGGTGGGAAAATCTTGAATGTACAAATCTTGAGCTTACAGACTCACCCTTGTCTCAGTAAACCTCTAGACTTTTACCCCAGAGGAACTTTGGCGTGGGGTGTGGGGTGTGGGGTGTGGAGACATTGGCACTCCTTGTGCCCTGTATAGAGCAGTAAGTAGAGCAGATCACGTCAGGCCTTTCACAGAATTGATTAATTGATGTTATGTATGTGTATGGGGTATTTTGCCTGCATGTATGTCTGGGCACCATGTGTATGTATAGTGCCTGTGGGGGTCAGAAGAGTGTATCAGATTCCTTAGAACTGGAGTTACAGATGGTTTGAACCACCACGTAGGTGCTGGAAATCAAACGTGGGTCCTCTGCATGAGCAGCCATCTCTACACCATCTCTCCAGCCCACTAACTTAAGCATGTTAAGGAAAATGAGCAAACATATCGCATGAACTTTATACTGTGAACTATTATATCACAACGAAAATGAACGAATCAAAATGTTATATATTAATGTGAATAAATATCTCATATGTGGTAGAAAGCAAAAAAGAAGGTTTTTTGTTTGTTTGTTTTGATTTTTTTTTTAGTATATGATACTGCAATCACAACCCTACCCCTTACTAATGTTTTGGTTGGAAAATATTAAATGGAAAATTC